AATACCAGCTGGAAGCACTGGGGGCAGGAGAAAAGGATTTTATGTATAATACACATTGTATATAAAACAGATTATATAAAACAATGCGTTTGATATTAAAATGATAATGCCAATAATTTTTGTCTCTATACTTATTTTTTTATGGCAGCATCTCACTATGTAGCCCTGGATGGCCTGGAACTCACTGTATAGACCAGGCTGGCCTCTAATTCAAAGATACTTACTTCTGCTTCCAAAGAGCTGAGGTTAAAGGTATGCATCACCATCTGACCTTGAACTTTTTTTCTGCTTGAGGAAGGGTCTCACAATGTAGCTGTGACAGCTTGGAACTCACAGTACAGACCAGGCTGGTCTGGAACTTGTGATGATCCCTCTGCCTCTGCCTCCCAAGTTCTAGGATTACATGCACATACTACCATGCCTGGCAATACTGTTTATTTTTGTGTCTGTGAAGAGATGCTTTAAATCTAAATTAAACATTACACAATGTTTGTACATATCAAAACATTAACTAAAACTTCACAAATATACATACTTTTTGTCTTCGTAGTTCAACTAAAAAAATTGAAACTTTAGATTTCCATTGATTACAGAATCTTTTCAAAATTTAATCTTTTAAAAATTTATTTTTATTTAATCTTTAAAAAAATTTTTTATTTATGTGTATGTGTGTGCCTGTGGACCACATGTATGTGGGTGCCCACAGAGGTCAGGAGAGGGTGTCGATGTCCTGGAGCTAGAGTTACAGGCAGTTGATGTGGGTGCTAGGAACTGAACTCAGGTTCTCTGGAAGAACAGTAAGTCCTCTTAACCACTAAGCCATTTATCCAGTTCAGCATTCTAATCTTTACAAACTTTTTCTGTAATAAATTCCTTACTCTATGTTGCCTCTGAAAAAAGAAAGTCTGAAATATAAGGAAATTTTAGCTGTACACATGGGCTCTTAAAGAATTATATTGATCCCTTTAATCTTTGGTTATACTTTCCTTTTGGGTATTTAAGATCATACAGTTGGCCCAGATAAGCCAATTTATTTTCACTCTTAAGGTTATTTGAGGATCTGTTCCTCAGGGGTCACATGGGCTTGGGAAGAGCTCCTGGCTCCTTTCTTTTACCAGTTCCATCTATATGAAAATAAGTCAAAGGTCCTGCTGGACCATGTCTGGCTTTACTTGGAAGCACGAATGAGATGTTTCCTCTGAGTTGACCCTCCTCTTTGTAGACTGGACACTGGTTCAAGTCCATCTGGTGGGGTCTCCATGGCCTCCTTGATCAAGAGGACAGGTGACTCACCACAGTTACAAGATATTTTGAGAGATACTCATAGTCCCCTGGAGCTTGGTTGACCTAGGAGGGCAAGGAGCAAACACTGTCCTTTATGTCCCTCTGACCACATTAATATTGGCCTTGAAGTATGGCTGTTAAACATCCAAGAAGGTTAGTTCCACCAATCTGGTACTTTTAATTACCGTGTGCTATGTAGATAAAGCTTGGGCAAAGACCAAATGTTCTCAGATAAACCTTTCTTAGACATGTATTATATTCCTTACTGGTCAATCTTTTCAGCCCCTTCAGTATGATTAAGATTGTTTTCTATATTGTTGGGAGCTACTATTATTATGGGCACAGCCATTGCTGCCTTGGGCTGTGGCAGCTTGCCTTGACTTATGCATTGGAGAAAGAATGGTTCCACCCTGGGAGTTTCCCTGCTCTCTGCTTCGTGGTCTGAGCTGACAGGCTGTGCTTCCCTGATTAACTGGCAGTCTTGGAAACAAAACCAAAGAGTTCTGATTCAGTTTATGGCACCGGAGTTTCTCAGCACTGTTAGCTTGGTTTCTATAGAGAAATAATGAATTATAGTAGTTGCTAAGAGTAATCACAAGTAGTACACCTTATATCTAAGATATTATAAATATTATGCAGCTGAATCTTGGAACTCGTCAACGTTGGGTGAGTTTCGGTTGGTGAAGTAATGTATTCTTGGTAGTATCATAATGTATCCTTGGTTATTCCTTGGTTACTTTCTGTTTTGTGACTTATCCTTAGTTATTCCTTGGTTAATCCAGATCTGATTCCTACATAAGCTTGGTTTGGTTCACAATAAACATGCACTGGTATACAAGCCTCTGCATCTCCTGTGTCTTGATTTCTATCTGTTGGGGTCCCCAAGCCCTTCAGGCTTGGACTGTGGTCACTGCACTGTGACACTATATGTCTGTGGAGAATGGCCAGGAATTTTATTTGAGATTGAACTGAATTTGTAGATTGTTTTTGTAGCATCACCATTTCCACAATACCAATAATTCTTATCCATGATAATGGGACTTTTTTAATCTTCTGGTGTCTCCCTCAATTTCTTTCTTTGGTGTCTTAAGTTTTATTGCAGAGGTCTTTCATTTCCTTGGTTGGATTTAATTCCGTGTGTGTGTGTGTGTGTGTGTGTGTGTGTGTGTGTGTGTGTGTGTGAGTTGAACGGAATTATTTCTATAATTTATTTCTCAGTATGTTTGTCATGGGTATATAGGAAGACTACTGATATTATATATGTTAATTTTAGATCCTGCCACTTTGTTGAAAATGTGTAGGAATGACTTTCATAAAATTGACAGAATCTAAACTAATTACTTATTAATAATTCATTGAACCCTGTGCTCTTGTGACCTGGGCATCTACTCTTGTTTCCTGGGAACCTCAATTTACTATTTCATGTCAAGATAGGGAATGAATGTGGGTGTGCTCGAGAACCAACATATCAAAGTGCTAAAAGACAGCATGCCCATATTCATTGAAAATGTAAAGACTGAGAAAGGATAATTGACATTGTGTGTATGAGATATTCTAGAACTAGGGATGAAAAGTCAAGATAGTCTGATAAGAGTGGGTTCAAGCTTGTGCTTCCCCAATTGAATCTGGTGAAATTGAATAAAAATTGCGGGTGAGGACTGACTTGAGGAAAGAGTTCCAAAAGACATCTGGGGGAGCTGGTATCCTCAGAGTTCAGGCCCACTTTTAAAAACTAAAATCAGGGCTGGAGAGATGGCTTGGCAGTTAAGAGCACTGACTGCTCTTACAGAGGACCCAGGTTCACATCCCAGCATCCACATGGTGGCTAATAGCCATCTATAACTCTAGTTCCAGGGAATCTGATGACCTCTTCTGATGTCCTTGGGCATTGCATGACATGGGTGCACTTACATACATGCAGGCAATACACTCATACACATAAAATAAAAATAATAAATAAAATATTTAAAAAAAATAAAATTAAGGGAGCTGCAGAGATGGCTCAGTTGTTAAGAGCATTGACTGCTCTTGCAGAGGACCTGGGTTCAATACCCAGCACCCACATGGCAGCTAATAACCATCCTAACTCCAGTTCCAGGGGATCCAACGTCTTCTTCTGACCTCTGTGGGCACTGCAAGACCTGGGTGCACTCACACAAATGCAGGGAGAACACTCATACACACAAAACAAAATACTAAAAAAAAATGAAAATTAAGACTCAGACTGTTTTATTCAGGTAGTTGTAAGGTTGGCATAGTAACACTGCACTGTGGTGCCTTGTCTGAGGAAGAGACTCGCTACTCTGAACTCACAGATTAACGACTGGGAAGGCCCTGAGAAAAAAAGGGAAATTAAAAACATCTCAGTCATAATGTAAGTTTCGTGACAACCAGTGCAAGGCTTTCCTTGATATCTTATACCAGAGCACTCATAGATAAGCACCTGGAAAAGTCTGAGGAAGAAGAAGATTTGGACCATCTCAGGCATACAGATGGATAAATCATACGACAACAAACACACGTCTTTCTTGCAGCTACTACTCAGACACTACAAAATCTTATTCACCTTTTATTTTCAGTCCCTTTACCAAGCCTGAAATGGAAAAAAAGAACTGTGCTCAAGTTTTTACTTTCATTTGGAAATGATGAATCTTTCCACTTTGATTTTGGTGATCTCTTTCTTTCCTGAATCTTATGTGCATGCAGAACCATTAATGAATTTAAAAGTATGGGAATGAAAGCATCATCAAAGCAAGATTTGGAACCTTTAAATGTTATTCAAAAATATTTTCCTTGATATACAAACTATGGGACGCTTAATTTGGAATCTTGGGAAAATACTGGTGACCAATTTAAGCTACTGCTTAAAAACAGTTCAGTTGAAGCATTTAACTAACTGTTTGGATCCAAATTAAAGTAGATATGCAGCCTTATCAAGAGAAAAAAAGGTATGCTTCTTAGAGAATTATGTTTTATAGAAACTAATGGAACTCCTGTGCCTAATTCTCTGCCTTCCATGGAGCTTTTTTAACTGGGGTAAAAGGTGATGGAAGAAATTAACTCAGGAAAGTGTACAGTACCTGATTTGGCAGTTGCAAGGTTGGAAGTGCCTGCTCTTTCTGCCCTGCATCTCCAAGCCTGTCTCTCAGATTCAAAACACGTTTCCTGTTCTTGTTTCCATGTCATAATGCTGCCTTTGACTTTTTAATGTAGTTTTTATTTTATGTGTATCAGTGTTTCACCTGCATGTATGTAAGTGCACCCATGCCTACAGAGGCCAGAAGAGCGTGTTGGAGTCCCTGGAACTGTAGTTAATTATGGTTGTTAGCTTCCATGTGGGTGCTTAGAGGCTACCAAACCCTAGATTCTCTGAAAGAGCTGCTTAACCACTGAGCCTTCTCTCCAGACCCATAATGCTGCTTTTGAGTACAAGCTCTTTTAGATATTGCTATTTTCTGTGTTTCAAGTTTCTCTAAATTATGAGTATTTAGTCAAGATTACATGTGGTAAATTATAATATGAATTTTCTAACACAGACAGCCAGATCCATGGCACACCAAAAAAGGAGAAATTCACCCTGTGCACTATCATGTTTACCTACAAATTACAAATATTTTTAAAAGAGAAAGGGTCAAAAGGAATATTTAAGGGGATTTAAATAATGTAACCCACAAAGAAGCCAAGATTGTCCTAAAGTTTAAATCATTAGAAGTTAGGCATAACTGAATACTGTGTCCTTTAACCAGTACTTTGCACAGCCAGACACCATGCAAAAGTAAAGTCTTCCTTTTAAATGAGTGATGATACACTAGTTGTTGTTGGTATGTCATTATTAAAAGTGAGCACAGTAAGAAACAATCCTTAGAAGTTGGCCAACTTCTGTAATCCATGCAAGGCCAATGTTTACTCCAGAAGATTTATGAATGGTGGGTCGTGCACTGACAAGATCAATTAACCAGTCAAAAATTAAGTTAAATAAAAAATCATTAAGGTTACAAGGCATGAGGACCCAGGTGGTGAGTATGGCTCTTCCAAATAGACTTTACCTTCCTTAGAGGCACTAGGAAATAGGATGAGATACAGGAAAACTCAGGCCTTTTTCAGTGAGATAAATCTATATCTCCAAGAGTAGAGAAATATAAAGCTCTAGAGAGCAAAACAGGAGAAATTTAAAGACAAGGGTAATAAGACATTCCCAGCCTCTATCCATTTGACCAAGATCTGTGATTTTCTAAACTCCTGCCTAGACTGAAGTTTAGCCAGAGAATGAATATGGCTTCTAATGGGAAATATAGTTATAGGACAGAGGATACTTTAGTTTGTCTCTATTTACAGACACAAGCTAACTAATTGTGGGGTGTACACCTTCAAACACCTCACCACCCCAAATATAGCCAGAGAGAAACTCATTAGGTAATAGTAAAGGAAAATACTTTTGTTGGCTTGATTTCCCTTGATTATTAGTTCTAACTGCCATGTATTCATGGACTTATAAAAATTTAGAGATATCGACAAATGACCCTTCAAAATCAAGTGTCCTGACTTTTGTCACTTCACATTCCCAATACAAGTCCTAGTAAAATAAATTTTAAAAGAAGCAAATGCATATTTTGAATATTAATAGTCATGTGCTGTTTTGAACTCATTGAGTAGCTGACACTAGAGATGGGATTAGGCTTTCCCACTTCAGACCTAAGCTTGTTTATCTCAAAATGTCTTCTGAAGCACATGAGACAGGATGACCCTCTGGCTTGTTGAGCAAGAGAAAGACAAAAACAGCTCTGTAACAAAAGCAATATGCCCTCGTGAAAAACTAAGAAATATATCACCAAGAGAAGTCATTTATTTCATGATCTAAAGATTTTAAGGTAAAATCCACTTAAGTGATCTCTATCTTGCCTCACCTTAAAAATGATAAGATGTAGGCCAGTTCCCTCTTTAACCCTAAGATAATGATTTCCTTACCATTTTAGATGAAATAAAAATTTTAAATCTCAACAAACATATGAGAGCTACCCTTAAACTTGTCACCTTTAAAACAATAAAAATCATGCCAGCTCCCTGCCTTGTCCTAAGATAATAAAGAATTTGCTTATGGGGCTAGATAGATAGCTCAACAGTTAAGAGCACTGGCTGCTCCTGCAGAGGACTTGGTTTCCATTGTCAGCATCCACTGGCAGCTAACAATCATCCATAACTCTGTTCCAGGGGACCTAAGACCTTCTTCTGACGTCCATGGGCACTGCACAACATGGGTACACATACACACATGCATACAATACACTCATCCATATAAAATAAGAGTAAAGTAAAATATTTTAAAAGAATTTTCTTATTACTTTAGATGTAATAAAAAATTTAAAATTCCTAAAAACTTATGAACCTCTTTAAAAATATTTTGATTTAATTTTAGGTAATTCAAATTCGATTATAAAAGGTTTTGTTTGCCTAAATGTTATCAATTCATAGTACACTGGTCAAATTCTTATTATATTTTATTTTTAGCCACTCTCAGAAATCCTAGCTTTAATTTACTTAGTGCAATTGGTTTATTGTTGATTTTTGTTAAATAAAATATTGTGTGTCATTAGAAACTTAAGAAAGGATAAGCATGGTAAGTCTTCACAAAAGATGGAAATTATTTTTTAATGTTATGTCTCATGGTATTAAGATAATTAGTAAGAGAATGTTAGAAGGATGTAAGAATGCAAATATTTTTAATAAAGTAGGATTTAGGTATAAAGATTAAGATGGCTGGATATTTGCAAAATGGAAGAAAATATGAAAGGTTTTTTTGGATATTATGAAGGCTAGAGTAAGGTACTTTAGATATGCGAAAGATGAGACTTAAATATGATATATCCTCCTAAAATATCTAAAATCAAAGTTCAAAAAACCTCTATTTAAATCAATGTAGTCCTTAATAGAAACATGCCAACGACTACAAGGATTAGCTTAATGTCTGACCAAGGTTTAAGAACAGCTAGTTTGGGCTAAATATCACAAAATTCTTAAAGCGTACCAGACTGTTGTGATTTATTTTCTGTGTGTTTAATGACAATACTTGAAGTTCACTTTCTTGCACCAATCCCATAAAACTGCGATATTATTATTAAGTTAAAACATTTTTGTGTCTGTTTTTCAGTAATTAAGCATTTATATCTAATTTTTAACTGAAAAATTTCACTCAGTTATGAAATTAAAATTTTTTTTTATTTAGAAGAAGCATTTCATCACAACAGCATTGACAAATTCAATAACAATTTCCAGAGCTAAGATGCATCTCTTTCAAAATTGGCTGTAAATTTTTAGGTTTATGGATGAATTGATATGGTTATATAATATTGTACTCCGTATAACCCCTATAAGATATAAAATTAAATGAGGTTTTAAACTTTAAAAAAGATCTCCATTTCATTATTAAAATACACAGTTTCCTACAGTTGTTTTTGCTACTAACACTGAGATGTTGGTGCATGCATCTCTAATCTGTATGTATCTGATTATTACTAGTGACAGTTGGTTACTTTCTGAGCTCCTTGGCATCTGAGCATGGATATAAAGTCATCAGGTAGATTTCAATGGTAATGTTTTCACATCTACTAATTATTAAGGAGCAAATTTTTATGCTTTAAAGAATTTATTTTCTTTTTTATTTATTTGTATATCCACTTCCCAGGTAGCACCCTCCCATAACCTCCCTCCCCTCTTATACTCCGGTATCCCTGCTAATGTCTGCTGTGTTGTCGGCACTCTCAGCCATTCCCCACTACTTGCCCTTCTGGTGAATCTAGTCAGCCTATCTAGAGGCCTTTGTTTCAGGAGGATCAGCTGTTCTTCATTTAGCAGTAATCAGTTGTCTACATTCCTTTGGATAAGACCGGGGTCTGCTATTCATTTTCCCAGTTCTATGCTGGGTTACTATCTGGGAATCCCTTTGGCCACCCTGGCCATCAACACAAAAGAAGGTATCGCTTGTCTGGCATTGTTGCTTGTTATGTAGCCTTTAGTTATACATATGGACTCTTATGAAATTATGTTGGCCAATTTAATCTTTGGTTATACTTTCCTTTTGGGTGTTTTAAGGCCATACCATTGGTCCAGATAAAATCAATTTATTTCCATCTTAAGGACATTTGAGGATCTGTTCCTCAGGGGTCACATGGGCTTGGGAGGAGTCCCTGGCTCCTTTATTTTACCAGTTCCACCTATGTGAAGATAAATCAAAGGTCCTGCTCAACCATGGTTGGCTTTGTTTGGAAGCATGGAAGAAATGATTCCTCTGTGTTGACCCTCCTCTTTGTAGACTGGACACTGGTTCACGTGAATCTGGTGGGGTCTCCTCGGCCTCCTTGATCAAGAGGACAGGGGACCCATCACCATTATAGGACATTTTGAGAGATGCTCATAGTCCTCTGGAGCTAGTTGACCTAGGAGGGCAAGAAGAAAAAAGTGTCCTTTATGTCCCTCTGACCAAATTATTATAAGCCTCAAAGTATGTCGGTTAAACATCCAAGAAGGTTAGTTCCACCAGTCTGGTATTTTTAATTACTGTGTGTCATGTAGAAAAATCTTGGGCAAAGATCAGTTGTTCTCAGGTAAACCTTACCTAGACATATATTTCTTGATCTGCTATGTATTCTTACATGTCAGTAGGTCCTAGGAGTAATATGGTTCTCTCTGTTTTTCAAAACTAGCTAGCCTTGTTTATCTCTCACATTGTCTCACCCCTCCATCATGGTTTTCCCACTTAAGGTGCCCCCATTTCCCTTCTTTCTCCCTTACTAATACCCTTCTCCTATGGTTCCACCTCTCTTGATCTCCTTCTTTCCCTTTATCCCCTAGGTTTCTTGTATACCCTTCCTTCCCCCCTCCCTTAAACTTACCCAATTTTTATCCATATTTCCCTTATTAACTCCTGTTTCCTACTGTTCTTCTCTTTCAGGTTCTTTCTTTTCCTTTACCTCCCTGTTTCCTTTCCATTACCCTGGTTCCTGGAGTTATGTCTGGCTGCATACTTATTCATCAAAGTCTGGTTCTAGGATCAACATATGAAGGAGAACATATGTCAAAATTTTCTGAATCTGTATTACTTCACTTAGTATAACAGTTTCTAGTTCCATCCATTTACCTCCAAATTTCATTATTTCATCTTTCTTTACTGCTGAGTAAAACTCCATTGTATAAATGAACCACATTTTCATTATCTACTGATCAACTGAGGGACACTTAGGTTGGTTCTACCTCTTAGCTCTTGTGAAAAGAGCAACAACAAACATGGATGTACATGTGTCTCTGCAACAGGATGAGTTCTTTGGATATACACCAAGGAGTGGTATAAATGGGTCAAATGGTAGGTTCATTTGTACTTTTTAAAGTGTTCTCCTCACTGCTTTCCATAGGGGTTGAACCAGTTTGCAGCCCCACCAGCAGTGATAAGTGTTCCCCTTTCCCCGCATCCTCTCCAACATTTGGTATCATTTGTTTTCTTGATCTTAGCCAGTCTGACTGGGGTAAGGTGGAATCTTAAAGTGGTTTTAATTTGCATTTCCCTAGTTACTAGTGATGTGAGCATCTTTTAAGATGCTTCATAGCCATCTTTACTTCTTTTGAGAACTCTCTGTTCAGCTCCTTAGCACATCTTTTAATTGGGTTACTTCCTGTCTTGGTTCTCTGTTTTTTGAGTTCGTTATAAATTCTGGTTATTAAACCTTTGTCAGATGTGTCTCTGGTGAAGGTTTTCTCAAATTCTGTGGGTTTTCTGTTTGCTTCCTTGGTTGTCTCCTTTGATGTACAGAATCTTTTTAGTTTAACGAGGTCCCATTTGTTAATTCTTGTCCTTGTTTCCTG